CTCCACCTCCACCTCCACCTCCACCTCCTCCTCCTCCTCCTCCTCCTCCTCCTCCTCCTCCTCCTCCTCCTCCTCCTCCTCCCCCTCTCTCCTTCCTCCTCCTCCATCCATCCTCCTCCCCTGAACTCGACATGCCCCTCCTTCTTCCCCTCGCCGTGGCCAAAGGAAGGGAGAGAAGGGACGGGGAGAAAAAGGAGGAGGGGGATGGGAGGAGGATGGAGAGAGCGGAGAGGAGAAGGAGCAGAACGAGGAGGGCGCGAAGGAGGGGCCAGCGACGCTCCAACGTTGCAACAATAATAACACATAACGGAACATCGCGAATGGAACCCAAAACCCTATCTTTCTGCTGCATTTCCCGACCCGGATCGATCTGCGATGGGCCTGGGGCCCGATAATCGGGCGAACACGCTCCGAGCGAAAATAATTGCAACGCCCTGATCGAGAGGTGAGAGGCAGGAGGGAGGATCGAGGGGGAGGACCGAGGACGGAGGATGCGGAGGATGACGTTGACAGGGAGCGGGCCTTCGGGGAGGAGGAAGGAGGAGAAGGCGCAGAAAGAGAAGGGCACAAAGGAGGGGCCAGCGACCCAGGGACGAGAATGGGGAGGAGGAGGAGGAGGAGGAGGAGGAGGAGGAGGAGGAGGAGGAGGAGGAGCAGGGAGGAGGAGGAGGAGCAGGGAGGAGCAGGGAGGACGAGGAGGAAGAGGGAGGATCTCAGGGCGGAAAGCGGTGCATGGACGACGAGCAGGACGAGGCAGACGCGGCTCGGCCCCACGCAAGTGCGGCCCTGGGTGAGAGTGACCTTTGGTGCGCGGCGTGCTGAGGGCCGCGGGGGGGCCAAACGCAGGCGCGCAAGACGCCCGATGTTGTCCACACGCGGTCCCCGGAAGTCCCTCCTCCTCCTCCTCCTCCTCCTCCTCCTCCTCCTCCTCCTCCTCCTCCTCCTCCTCCCCCGGGACTGGCTTCTCATCCTGAATAACTGCTGGACGGTCCCGGGGCCCGACGACGGCCCCGAAGGGCCGAACAAAAACAGCAAAAAAAAAAAAACACGCGCCCTGCCTTATTTTACGACGCGAGCGTGTCCGGGACCATCGCGCCGCACTCGGCAATGGGGGGGCCCCAGCGGGCGCGCACCAAAGGTCACCCCGGCGAGGGGTAACCTTTACGTCCGCGGCGAGGCTGGGGAGAAGTGAGAGGGGGCGGGCCTTCTCAGAAGGCTCGGAAGTCCCCCGGCCTTCCGAGAAAGCTTCTAAGCCTTCCCCGAAGACGCAGCAGACCTCTCAGAAAAAGGGCTTCTGAGAAGTCCTGCCACCTTCTGAGAAGGCCATCTCCTCCTACCTTCCTCCCCGCGCTCGCCGCCGATACGTGCAGTCGAGCGGGGCGTTCCTGCCCGCATCTGTCGGCGCGCGGCGGCGGCGCCACGCACGCCGCGAGCGTGCCCCAGGGCGCCACGCTTCCGAGGTCCTGGGCGGGCGCCGCGGCCGCTGGCGCGGGAGGGGGAAGGCGAGAGAAGGAGGAGAAGGAGAAGGAAAGGGATGGAGATGAACGCAACAGCCTCAAGCTAACGCTTGGCCAACGTCAAAAAAAAGGGATGGAGAGAGGGAGAGAAAGTGGGACACGCACACAGGCACACACGCACATGTACACACATAGACACAGACATAGACATTCAGATAAACATATACATACGCACACACATATATTAGATGTGTGTCCACTTGTATATATGATGATATGTGTACTTATATGTTTACGCATACGAGTACACATGTCCATAGCAATGTGTTTGTCCATATACGTATACGTAAATAATACCGGAGAGAAGCCCCATTCAGATTTGCGTTCGGACTATGGGGCTATAGGACTATAGGGCTATAGGGCTATGGGGTATAGGGCTATATGGGCTATATGGCTATAGGGGTATGGGGCTATAGGGCAAGTGGGCTATTGGGCTATAGGGGCTACATGACTATAGGGCTATAGGGCTATAGGGCTATAAAGCTATAGGGCTATAGGGCTCTGGAGCTATAGGGCTCTAGAGCTATAGGCCCATAGAGCTATAGGGCAATAGGGCAATAGGGCTATTGGGCTTTAAGGCTATATGGGCTATATGGGCTATTGGGCTATTGGGCTATGGAGCTATTAATCTATGGGGATATATGGCTATAGGGTACCCATGCACCCCCAGGCACCTCCGGGCACCCCCGAGCACCCGGGTTCCTGGGCACCCACGGGCACACGGGCACCCGGGCACCCAGGCACCGAAATCCTGGGGCACCGGGCACCCACGGGCACCCGGGCACCCGGGCACCTGGCCACCAAATCGGCGCCCCACCTCACCTAATCATATGAATCCACTAGGACCCCTACAGAGGCAAGCTCTGATTGGGGAACTATGCAGTTACACATACTCGTACATAACCACAACCATATACATATGCATGCACACATGCACACATACACATAAATAACCATATACACATGTACATACATTCGCATGTACATATACTGGTGGATGTGTGAAAAGCAGGCATGCGCACATGTAGATACATCTACGTATCATTACACACGTCAATGTGTATACTCATATTTCGATGTATATATGCACATGTGTAGGCGTATCCGTTCATGTACACACATACATACATAGATAAACACACACACATACATATGCACATGCACATACACATACATACGCACATGCATGTACATATATCTATACATAGACATCGCCATACACACATACATTGCATACACATATACATGTATATACACGTATACATAAGACTACACCGACACAGGTACGTCCACACATACCTGCACTTCATGCCAGCGCAGATGCCCATACTACACCTAGACACATACACCTATAAAAGGCACATGCATATACACATGGATCATCATACACATAATCAGCTGCACATGTTCTTACATGATGCCGGAGAAAAAAAACAATCAGGGCTGTAGGGCTAGGGGGCTATAGGGCTATTGAGCTATAGGGCTATAGAGCTACAGGGCTATGGAGCTGTAGGGCTATATGGCTATTGGGCTATAGACCTATAGGGCAACCCCGGGCAACCCCGGGCACCCCCGGGCACGCCCGGGCACGCATCCGGGCACCTGGGCACCCCGGGGCACCCCCCGGGCACCCGGGCGTGCAACGAAAATCGGCGGCCAACCTCACCCCTGGGCACCCCGGGGCACCCGGGCACCCGGGCGTGCGGCGAAAATCGGCGGCAAACCTAACCTAACCATATGAATCCGCTATGACCCTTACAGAAGCAAGCTCTGATTGGGGAATATGTGTATATACGTACATACACCTACATATGTAAACAGAACAGATACGTAGATATATACATGCGTAACTACATGTGCATATACACAGTCATATACATTTACATATACGCATGCACGTATATACACATGTGCATATAAACGTACACGTACATGTTATATTAATATATGTATGCAAATCCGCATACACATAGCCATCTACATTAATTTCCATAACCATTGTACTTATATTTGCACATGCCCATCATGTTGTTTTATATGTTTCGATTCTGGGACCCTGCACCCCTCCCTAAACGGGACCCCCCGGATCCCTGACCCTTGGAGCCACTTGGACGCCCCTGGAGAAGGTTGCCTGAGCTGTTGGGAGCTCCTGCAGCCCCTGCTGGAACCAGGCAGCGGGCCCAAATCGGTCAGGAGGGCAGCCAAACGGCCCTCCGAGGGGTCAAGGAGGCCCCAAACACCCACCAGACGCCCGAAGACGACCCACAGAACATCCCCGAGAGGCTATCGAACTTCAACGAAACATTTATTACCAATGGTTTGTGTATGATGTTTGGCATGCTTTGTTCTTTGGTCTCCCAGCCGTCCGAGACCGCCCAAGAGGCACGACGCCAAAACTATGCGAAAGGGCTTCCAGGCAGTCCAAGAGACTCCCACAATTGCCGAGCAGGGCCCCAGGATAACCCGAACAGAGCCCCACAACGGCCCAAGATGACCCCAAGGCGCCCCCTGAAGCATTCCAAATCGTGACACGGTCGTTCAGGAAGACAGCAGTTGGAGGCAGGGTGGTCCGAAGAAGCCCCCCAAAGGCGCTCAGGAGGCCTCCAGAAGGACCCAGGAGGCCTGTGAAACTTTCGTGAACCACCCGGGAAGCTCTCCAAGGAGGAGCCTCCGCGAAAAGAGCAGAGGATGGGGAAGACTTCGCAGGGGAGGGCGAGAATGAAGGGTGAGGGAAACATGACGACGACGACGACGACGACGACGACGACGACGACGACGACGACGACGATGAGAATGAAGGATAACGAATGACATGAGAATGAAGGGCGAGAATGAAGGGCGAGAATGAAGGATAACGAATGGCATTATGACGACGACGATGCTGGACACGGCGACGAGGAAGTATCGCTGCGTCTCTGCTGTGCCTGCCTGCCCTTCCGCCGCGACTTCCGCCTGCGCACCAATGTCCAAGGAACGAGGCACATGGCGCGAAGCGCACATGCAGCCTTGTGTGTATATGTGCATGTACCCCGGCCCGCCCTCCGGCCGCCTGAGGCCCCGCCCGCCTGTGCTCTGTCTCCCCAATTAGAGCTGTGCGTAGCCCGCCTAGCTCTTAACCGAAGAGGTTCGCTCTCGCCCCGCAGACCAACAAAAACATGTGTGCATGTGTACGCGTGCATGTGTATGTATATATATATATATATATATATATATATATTATATATAATATATATATATATATGTATATATGTGTATATATAATGTGTGTATATGCGTGTGTAAATATACAGATATACGTGCACCTGTAGATCCGTCACCGCGCCGCTGGGCACGAAGGGGGCGTGCCCTCAGGCCCGTGGCCCTATACGCCCTCAAAGCCCCGGTCCTCGCTCCGGAAGGGTCTGTCAAGGGGGCCCGGGCCCGCGGTTGCCACCTCTCCCGGGGCTTGGGGTGTGCCCCCTGGGGTTCCCGGCACCTCCTCGCAGTCCTGCTCGGGCCCAGGAGGGCTCCAGGGGCGGGCCCCGGGAGGGCCCCAAGAGGCTCCGAGGCAGTCCAGGAGGGCTCCAGGAGGGCTTCGGGACGGGCCCAGGAGGGCCCCAAGAGGCTCCGAGACAGTCCAGGAGGGCCCCAAAAGGCGCCCAGTGGTCGTTCCAAGACGCCCAAGACGGTCCCAAGACGGCTGAAGAGGCCTCCGAGACGCCCCGAGAGAGCCCCAAAAGCCTTCCCAAGAGGGTCTAGAAACGTTAATCACCCATCGGTTGTCCAATGATTTTGGAGTCCTCGGCTCTTCGGGCTCCCGACGCTCCAAGAAGGCCCGAGAGGCCCCCAGGACCTCCCCAAGACCGCCCATGAGGCCCCCAGGAGGGCCCCAACACGGCTCAATAGGGCTCCAAGACGGCCCCAGAGGCGCCCAAGACGGCCCAAGAGGGCCCAGAAGACAGACCCAAGAAGGGCCCAAGAGGGGGAACACGAACCGAATGTCCGAGTCTTCCGCCCCAAGAGGCCCCCAGGCCCCGAGGAGGCCCAAAGAGGCCCAAAAAGACAGTCAAGAGGCCCCGAAGACGCCCCAAGAGGTCCCCAAACGGCCCTCCAGCCCGAGAAACCTCCCGCGACATCCCAACTAACATCATGGAGGCCCATGGCCCACACCCAGGGCACGTCGGCGGGATGGGCCGAAGTCCATTATCCGCCGCCCCCTGGTGATTCATCACAGGGGTGCCTGGCGTGCTGGATCCTTTCGGTTTTGGCTTTGGTTCTTTTTCCGAAAGAACTCCCCCTGGGGCTTCGGCCCGTCCCGCCGGGGTCCTGGGAGGGAGCTCAATCCAAAATTGTCCCTCCAAGACGGCTCAAGATGGCCTCCAAGATGGCCACGTTGGTCCAAGATGGCCTCCAAGATGGTCCAAGATGGCCTCCAAGTCCGCCCAAGATGATCCAAGACGGCCTCCAAGACGGCCCAAGAGAGTCCAACATACTTCCAAGTTCGCCCAAGCAGCCTACAAGACGGCCCAAGACGACCCAAGAGGCCTCCAAGAGGTCCTCAAGGAGGGCCCGAAGAGGCCAAAATCATTGATTTTCGTTGGGTGTTTGAAAGACTTTGGCATTTGCTTCTTTTCGGCCCTCCGACGGCTCAAGACGGCCCAAGAGGCCCCCGATATCGCCCTAAGATCGCCACGAGGCCTCCAAGATGGCCTCAAGACGGTCCAAGAAATCTCCAAGACGGCCCCAAGACGGCCCCAAGAGGCCTCCAAGACGGCCGAAGTGGCCTCCAAGACGGCTACAATGGCCCCAAGATGCTTCCAAGACTGCCCGAGATGCATCATCCAACACGGCCTAATATGACCTCAAGATGGCCCAAGACGGCCCAAGAGGCTCCCACGAGGCCTCCAAGACGGCCCAAGAGGCCTCCAAGAGGTCCTCCAGGAGGACCCGAAGAGGCCAAAATCATT